CCTACCAACTGTGTATAAGGGTTTCCACATTATTGACACTGTTGGTTTTTGGTACAAACCCATTTGCCAATTCTTACTGTTATTTTCTGGCCCAAGGTAGTCCTTTTCAGGAAGTTCTTGTCTATACCATATCCTATAACTTTGCCTAGTGATAACAGATTTTCTAATCTTAAAGTCTGCGATCCCTTTTGAATTGATGTTTGTGCAGGGTGAGACTCTGGAATCTCCTTTCTTGTGCATATGGGTATCTGGTTTTCCTGGCGCCATTTGTTGAAAAGGCTGCCTTTCTCCAGTGTGCCTCTGGCACCTGTGTTTGTTTTTTTTTTCTTGTTGTTCTGGCCAAATACCTGACAGAAGCAATTTAGGGGTGGGAGAGTTTAGTTTATAGTTTAAGAAGGGAGGTAATCCATCAAAGCAGGGAAAGTGTAGTAGCAGTGGTGTGAGGCAGCTGGTCACATCATGTCCATAGTGAGGTTGCAGAGTGCAAACAGAAAATGGGGCCAGGCTACGAAACCGAGGCCTGCCCCAGTGATCCACTTTGTTTAGTGAGTCTCTCTCTCTTAAAGGTTCCAAGTGCCATAGTCTGAGGACCAGATCTCCAAACACAATTTATGAAGAACATTTTACATTTAAACTACAATAACACTTTAGCCAAATAGCAGTTGGCTGCAGCCCTGTGGACTTGTTTCTAGGTGCTCTGAGCCTTGCATTGGTCTCCATATCTGTTTCTGTGGCAGTGGTGTGCTGTTTTGTTATATGCATAATTTGAAATCAGGTACTCCAGCAACCCCGTTTCCTCAGGAGCTGGCTTTAGCTTTTGCATCTGAGCTCCTTTTTTTTTTTTTTTTTTTTTTTTCCTATGCATGGATTCTAAATTTGGCATCTTAATCATGTTTCTGGGTTCTTGAAAGTTGTGATAATTCTGCTTTTTTTCTTTATCAATGTCTGAGATACTATTTCCTTTGCTTTGTCTTTTGTTCTTGATAACTTTTATCTTCTGCTTTCTCTAATCCACTGGTGATGCTTTCCAGTATGTTTATTTGTTTAATTCAGTTTTTCACTTTGAACATCCTGCTTGAATTTTCCCCAAATCTTAATTTCCTTGCTGAATTTCTTATTCATGTTGCTGACTTTCTTGCACAGGCCCTGAATTGAATTCCTTACTTCATTAAACTGTTTGAACATTTTTCGAGATCATTGATCAATGTTCAATCTAGACTTTGAATTCTTTGTCTGTCATCCTTTCATTTCAGTATCTTTGGATTTGGTTACTGCAGTCATGCTCCTTTGGAGGAGTCATATTACCTTACCTTTTCACATTTGTTGTCTCTGTGTTGGAATTTATGCAATCTCCCTTTTGGTTTTATTTCAAGTTCTTAGTGATCAACCTTCTCTTGAGAGCACAAACCTGGTATTACTCACAGAGGAGAAAACAAACTTCTGAAACAGCAATACTAAACTTAACCACATACTGAATACATTCAAAATCATTAAAGCCAATGAAGATAGCACAGTGAGCACAGAAAGGAAGCTGCCAGGCTTGGGAGATGACATGGATGATAAAGTGCCACATAAGCTTGAGGACCTGAGTTCATGTCCCAGGCACCCACATAAAAGTCAGACACAGTGGTATGCATCATCCTGTGACGGGGCTGGAGGCTTATCTAACCAATCTTACCCAAATCATTGAGCTCCAGGTTGAAGGAGAGACTTTGTCTTAAAATACAAGGTGGGATATGACTGAGGAAGACACCTAATTCCAACCTCTGGCCCCGACACACGTCTCAAACACATATATCATACATACACACGTAGAAACTGGCAGCATTATATAGCATGAGATATAAATTTTAAAAACAAAGAAAAGTAATCATAATGAATGAGTGAAATTAAGGAGGCATTTAAGAACAGGAAATAAAGGAAGGGTTAAGGAAAAGACATGCAAAGAATGATCAGGATGTTACAGAGGAGAGAAGGGAGCTCCAGAAAGTTTTGATTAAATAATAAAGAAAAATAGGTAAATACAGTTTAACTTAATGAAATCTAAAAATGCTTAGTAATAAAGTTGAAACAATAGTAAAAAGATAGTAAAGACACCCCTCCCTCCATATTTTAAAAGAAAGTTAGGAAAAATGTTTTTAAAAAATAACCAAGTGTTGTAGTGGCTTACTTCAGAGTCCTCTGATACTGGAAAGTAGCAAGTGGAAGGGAGGCCGGTTGACATCAAGTCTCTTGTCTTTCTTTACATTTAGGTTGTTACTGAGCTTGTGCCACTCAGGAGTTACTTGCCCATCAGGGCTGCGTTCAGTTGAGGGTCTTCTCTTCTTTGCCTACCCGGAGCCAGTGCTGGCCACACAGCTTTGCAGCTGGGTTATCTGATTGACTTCACTCATGTCTAAGCCCAGTGCATTAGAGAGATGGAAGCAAGTTAAACACTCAGATTGCTGTTTGGGGTCCTGATCTCATTGCTTTCAGTGAACTCCACCCCTGAGGAAAGAAGAGGCTGTATAAGAGGCCACTGAGCTTCAGTCTTCAGACACTCTCACATCAAACCACAAGATCAGGCAGGACAGCCTAAGCTCTGGCTTCTCTTACTGGAAAGAGCCAGGGTGGGAGATGGAGCCAGGAGTGGTTTTCTACACATAGTCTATGACTTTCCTCCTGCCCTGTCATCTTTTTCATGACTCTGATGTTCTTCCTTTCTGTCTCTTGTAGCCCTGACTCAGAGTCACACACAGCTGTCTTCTAATATGCTGTCTTCCCCTAGAAGCTCTAATTTCTAGAATTTCTTTTTGAGCCTTATTCTGAACATACTATTTGGTTCATTCTGTTTGTATTAAAATATATTACACAGAGAGTATCCCCAATCTGTCAAGCAAAGATGCAAACTGCTCCAGCATCTTCTGTGTATTGGAGTTTGGGATTAAGGATGCTTAACTGATATAGATTGTAGATGTTCTAGAATCCATAAAAATCTGAGCCCTTTCTGGTTCCAAGCATTTCAGGTAAGGTCACTCAACTTGGATGGAATTTTCCATGTATTCAAAGTTTTTTTTTTGTTTTTTTTTTGTTTTTTTTTTTTTTTGGATTTTTCGAGACAGGGTTTCTCTGTGTAGCTTTGCGCCTTTTCCTGGAACTCACTTGGTAGCCCAGGCTGGCCTCGAACTCACAAGATCCGCCTGGCTCTGCCTCCCGAGTGCTGGGATTAAAGGCGTGCACCACCACCGCCCGGCTGTATTCCAAGTTTTTAAATGGCTTCCTGGATGCACCAAAAGTTGTGTTACAATCTTTGCTATTGTTTTTATTGGCATTTCTTGATTCTGTGAACTGCCTTTGATGATGTTTTTGTAGCTTTGCTTTTCTACTTAACCAATATTTTCCCCCTTAGTATAAATCCTTAGAAATAAATTAATGGACCAAAATGATGTCATGATTTTAAGGTTGCCTACTGCATACCACACTGCCTTAAACATGCTAGTAACAATGTGGTGTTAAGCTGTTGGCCGTATCTGTAGGTAGGGAGAAACTTATTTTGCTAGAAACCTCTTTTCTCCTCTGTGACCTCCAACAGTGAAGGAGTCAAGAGGTCCCTCTAGTTTCCATCAATCTAGTGATCTTGGAGATCTGTGTTAATGAATCTCTGCTTCTGGACAGGGACTGAAAGTGCAGGGGAAGCCATCAATACTCTGTAGTGTGTAGTGTTGATTGTCAGCTTGACTAGATTGAGAACTGGTCTTTCTGTGAGGGTATTTCCAGAGAGAATTAGCTGAGGGGGAAGACTGACCCTAAATGGGTGGCACCATCTTATGGCTGGGGTCTTAGTCTTCTGCTACCACGGACAAGACCCACTGTGTCTCCATCACCATGATAATCTGAGCCCAAATAAACATTTCCTCAAGTCGCTTCCCACCAGGTATTTGTTTATAGCAACAAGTAACTAATAACGCCATTCATCCTCCAGGACTAGGCCACCCTTAAAAACCTGCAGTGTTTCTCAGAACTTTCTCATTTGCACTCATGAGTTCTCTCTCACTAGCACAAGGGACTTGAAGGAGCAAGTTAGGATTGAACAGACAGTTTTTTGCAGGTGAGGCTGCTGAAGAATATGCAACTCGCTTCCAGTGTACCATTTAGCATTCATTTTCCAGGAATATTTCTGACTTTTAAAGATCAAGTGAGTAAGATAGTAATGGTAATGTTTTATTTGCTTTGAGTAATATAGTAATACATGTTTAGTATGGGGCAATTTGTTTTTTTTTATTTCTCTTTCAAAAGAATTGCATTGTTTTCATCGTTACTAATTATATTATTATTATTATTATTATTATTATTATTATTATTATTGTGTGTTTATGATGTGAGTACAGGCACACATGTACCATGTGCATGTGTGGAGATCGAGTTACAAGTTGTGAGAGTTGGTTCTGTGCTCCATAGTGGGCACCAGAGATCAAGCTCAGGTGGCCAGGCATGTGTGGCCCAGCACTTTTACTTGCTGAGCCGCCTCACTGGTTTTGTTGTTGCTGTCTTAAAGAACATCAGTTCACTTCAGTAGCTACTGAAATATTGCATACTGTATTTTACCATTTGGAGTTTTATTTCAAATGATTTTAGTCTTTTCACAGAGTGGACAGTTGGCACCATGGTTGATTTTAGGTTTTTAGACTCTCCAAACCAAACCCACACCAGTTATCATTGCAGGGTTTTCTCCCAGCCCTTCTCCCTGTGGCAGTGAGAGATTCGCCATCCTTAGGCTCACCTATCCAGACTTTCTTACCAAGGGGGGCCATGTGCCCTGCCCTCTGTGACTGGCTTCGGCTCTGATGCTTTTGACGCTCCCCTCATTTCTAAGCCAAGTGTTCTGGGGTGGAGAAGCACTATCCTTTATTCACTCATTCACTGCTCAATGGGCATTTGCAGTTTTTGTTTAGTGATTGTGAACATTCAGTACATTTCCCCCCGTGGATGCAATTTTATTTTATACTATTTTTTTCTTTTAGTGTATTTCTCGAGAAGCGGGTGGAAACATGAGCATTCAGTTTCTTGGCACAGTGGTAAGTATGAAAAAATACTGTGCATCGTCTTGGTCAGAGAGAATTGTTTGGTTTTCTCCCATGTTTTTGCTCCTGTTCATTGTGATTTTATTTTGCTATCAAATCGAGACACCTCTGTATGAGAAGCCGGATATGTGAGAAAAGCTTCTGTGCTGGAAATATTTCAGTTGCATCTTCTCAGAGAGGAAATGCTTCTCGAGTTCCAGCTTGTGGGGTAGTTGCACTTTTTTTCCCATTGCAGATTTTCTCTGTATTCTTAAAAGTAAGAGTGTATTGTATGAAAACAGTGAACTTGACTTCTTCCCCCTCAGTTTGCTTTCTATCTTTCTCAGTTAAGTTCTTCACATCCACCTTTCTAAAGAAATTGAATCGTAGTTTTGTATCTTCATTATTTTCATGTAAATCCTGTTATTTTATGTATTGCTATGCAGCACTTAAAAGCCACATTTCTTTTTGTTTTTTCTTTCAGTTAATTTATGTATATGGGTGTTTTTTTTTTTAATTTTAAGCTATCACTTTGATGTGGCTTATTTGGTGTACGTGTATTTTGCCTGCGTGTATATCTGTTCACTACCTGTATACCTGGTGGTTGTGGAAGCTACAGAATCCCCTGATGGTTGTGAACTACCATGTGGGTGCTTGGAATATTGCTCAGGTCATTTGGAAGAGCAGCTAGTGGCTTAACCACTGAGCCATCTGTTCAGTCCCCTGTAAACCTCATTTTAATGGAGACATATTTAGCATTCTAATGAATAGAGGGGATGCATTTTTATTTATCTGTGAATCTCAGTTGTAAGCTACTTAAGTTGCCTCTATATTTTTTGCCTTTGTGAATGTGTTTTGATTCTTGTATTTTAAAAATTATTTTCAAACACATCTGAGATATTTTTAAATTTATAAGATATATCTCTTTATAAACTGACTCAAAGCTGTGAACAGCTGTATGACTGGTTATGATTTTAGTTATTTTCTAGGCTTTAGGATACCACCCACTGTGTGACGGAGTGCTTTATACTCTAAGTAGTACAGTTCTGATTGCTTGCTAAGTTTGTTACATGTAAGGTTACAGTTATTGTTAGTGCCAGTTATAGTTTTCAGAACATTGTTAAAAGCATACTGTAAATGTGTTGTTTTTCTGTTGCTGCTGTAGAGCATGTCTCTGTGTTCTATAAAGTATTATTTGTAGTATGCAGCACACCTGTTTATGTCTTTGAGGCAACTTGTTCAAAATGTACACAAGGCATGAAAGTTAGTTCTTGTGTCTCCGAGAGTTTGTTGAGGGCATTAGAAAAGCCTGTGGCTTGGAAAAAAAATAGTGACTTTGTAGCAGTGAGATATGGACATTCATGCCTTAGTGCTTTGCCATCTCTGTATAGAGATGTGTGTATAATGCATAGGTGTGTAGTATATGTTTGGTAGATTGTGTATAGAGGCAGGCCCTTGTATAATGTAACATAAACTTTAGGTATTTAACCTCAGGTTAAATATTCTTCTTGTTCTAGTTAGTACATTTTATAAACAAAAATATTGTTTAATGTATGGCATGAGAAGTTGTACGAGACTCAATAGGGTATGCTTATTGGTGTGTGTGTGTGTGTGTGTGTGTGTGTGTATAGAAACAAAGCAAATGTAACTTCTTTTAAGGAACTGGTCATACACTTGCAGAGGCTTTGCAAATCTCAGATCTTCAGAGGAGGGTAGTAGACTGGTAACCCATGAGAAATCACAGTTAAGAATCATAGTTGGTCTTCTCACTGAACTTCGGGTTAGTTCCCATGAAATCCTTCAGCTGATTGAATGATGCCTACCTAAGTATACAAGGCAATCTGTCTTACTAAAACTGCTGGTATAAAACTTTATAGTCCTTTGGGGAAACATCCATGATAACTTGGCCAAATATCTGGATACTGGGGTTTTGCTAGGTTGACCCATAAATTCAACCATTTTAGAAATATGTACCCATCCTCTAGAGAAGTGGTTCTTAACCTGTAGGTCATGACCCCCCTAAACCATTGGAAAACACCGATATTTGCATTATGATTCATATCAGAAGCAAAATTACAATTATGAAGTAGCAACAAAAATAATTTTACGGTTGGGGGTTGCTACAACATGAGAAACTGTATTAAAGGATTTCAGCATTAGGAAGGTTGAGAACCACTGCTCTAGAGGGATCTGAGTAACAATAGCTCTCTCCTTCTAGAACATAGGGCATAGGGCAACATGCCTTCCATGAAGCAGCTCATTTGGACAGTAGTCTATGCCAGTGCACAGTGACTTATCATATCCTTTCTTGTATGCACAGAGTTCTGCTAACAATTTCCTCTGCCCCCAGTACTCAAGATAGGAAGGCCACCGCTGCTTCAGCCTTTGCTGATGGACAACACAATTTCCAGAGCAATCCTAGTTACTCTAAACTCATGCAGTGGCAGTTTTGATGGTGGGTTTATTGTATTGTGTTTTCTCTGTGTGCCATTAACACAGGATCAGTAAAGGATCAGTGTAGAACAGGGCTGATGAGGATGGACTATTTTAAACACAGAGTTCTTTCTTTTGTGAAGGTGTTTGCAGGAGTAGCTGCATCAAGACACAGACCATGGATTTAATGGTCTTTGTGAGAATCTTTGTTGAGTCTTCTCATTAAGTTGATTTCTTTTAATATTGATAAGCATGGTCTTTAATGTTTGAAGAGTTTAATTTTAGGCCATGAAAATGCTTAAGTCAGCTAGGCGGTGGTGGTGCATGCCTTTAATCCCAGCACTCGGGAGGCAGAGCCAGGCGGATCTCTGTGAGTTTGAGGCCAGCCTGGGCTACCAAGTGAGTTCCAGGAAAGGCGCAAAGCTACACAGAGAAACCCTGTCTCAAAAAAAAAAAAAAATACTTAAGTCATTAAAATGGAAAAACAACTGATACCATTCATTTTTTACTCTGAACTTTGAGGAAACTTCATTACTTAAAAAAGCCTGCTTTTATTAGCTATTAGCTAATACAAGGGTTAGAAATTACATAAAATATAACTACATAATTGTTCAGGTACATTTAAAAGAATATTTTATAGTCAGATGTGGTGTCACATGCCTATAGTCCCAGCACTCAGGAAGTGGAAACAGGGAAGGATGTTGAAGTCAGCCTGTCCCCAAAACTCAAGGGGTGGGAATCGACTTAGCCTAGCATTTCTGTTTGTTTCGGTGTGTTAGAGACTGAGCCCTGGTGCCTTTCTCATGCTGGGCAAGCATTCCAGCACTGAGCTACACCCCAGTCCTGTTGTGTGAAAGGGTTAGGTTGCGGATCATAATTCTAGTTCTGACTCATAAGCTACGAAAGGATTGACTGTAACAAACTGTGAAGGAACTGAGGTATTCCTGGCTTATAGGATGAGAAAATAGCCTCCTATGTTTCAATGACACTTCTGGTTGGCAGGGAACTCTGGGTCACTATCTCTCCAAACCCACATTCCTCACATGAGGCAAAGGAGGCAGTGTGACGTCAGCGCACACAGTGGGATCTCACTGTGGGACAGTGAACTCAGGGAGCCAGGCGTAGAGCAGACAGCATCCCTCCAACCTCCAACCTCCCACCCCAGCTTCTCACACATCAAGTCCTCCAGAGCAGAGGATGGTCATCTTTTCAGTAGAGTAAGAAAATGCCAGAAGCTCATGGAGATTTGCCTCCTTACAGTGGTGTGTGTTACTCCTGTCAGAGGTAGGCCAGTTTGCCTCAGCACACAATCTGGAAACCTGAAAGGCCTTCTTCAGTTTATAGGCCCTCATGTCCATTTAAGTGGATGCCATATTCACATGAAAGGTAGGGATTGGAGAAATGGGAGATCTATTCTTCTATCCCCTCTAAAGCTTTAGCTCATGATTTCCAATCCAAGCAAATGACCTCTCCTTTCTGCCATACTGTTTGAACTACAGTAGACAATTACCAGATAATGCTTCAGTAGAATGAAGGTGTCTTGTGAATGCATGGAACGGCACTTTCAGGGCACACTTATATCCTCCTGTCTGGAGAAGCACAGTGGACCTGGGTGTGTATGTTATGTATATTTTACCTTCAGTGTCCTTACCTGACTATTCTCGTGCTCCCCAAATGTAGTTTATAGGATGTTTACTACTCTAGAAGTAGTGGGACCTGGAAGAATGGCACCAGTAAATAAGGTAGACTAAAGTCTTAAGCAATAGCCCATTGTAATGAATAATCTGAACTAAACTCATACCTATCCACTACACCTGACATGGTCATGAAAGCATAATCCAAGAATAATTACATGTTTTTTGAAGACACTGAGGTCATATGACTCGTCTTGTTTTCTTGAAGTTTTTTTAATAAGCACTCAGAATTCTCCTCACATGACTCCATTCTTGGACTGTGTTCAGATATCTCCCCCCCACACACACTTTATTTTTTAAAGGCAGGATATCCAGAGTTTTGATTTGAAATGTTGCAGATAAGTCTAATTGTCATCTGATGCATGAGCATCCTATAAGCAAGAAAATTATAAACATAATGAAAAATATTAGTACACTGGAAGCTTTGTATGTAATACTCTGCCACCAAGAACAGGGATCCAAACTATGTCTAGTACTATTGGTTACATTATTATATTAGTTAGAAAAATCTAGAGAATAGCTTGAAAAGACACCCAAATGATTAAGCCCATATTTGCCCTTTAATAGGAACACAAATGTTATGATGATATTCTATGCAAATAGGAAGTGATTCAAATCCCAAGGAAAAATTAAATGCAGTCCCTTCTTCAGATGAATGAATGAAAGTATTATGGTCCCAAGGTCCAGTCATAAGCACAGACTCACTAGCAGAGTTCCTTTTCCCTTGGTGCACAGGGCCTGAACTTGGCCCAGGTGGGCAGACTTCACTTCTGATGATCTGGTCGAGATCTCCTTTTGCCCTTCAGCTGGAGGTTTGCTGTCTTTCTGGTGACTTTTACTGTCTCCTCACCCTCTGCCATTGTCTTTGATGGCCTCTGGCCAGAGGAG